TTCTTCTTCTTCTTCTTCTTCTTCTTCTTCTTCTTCTTCTTCTTCTTCTTCTTCTTCTTTTTCTTCATTAGTTTTAAAAGATTGGTGTTGTTTTCAAATTAGTTTTCCACCCATCCTGTAACTTCCTGAAAATGTTCCTAGTTTTAAACGAGGGTCTCGTGTGAGAAGGGAGCCTTGGCAGCCACTTCCTTAGCGTCACTCTCTGAGCCGGTGCTCACAGATGCCCTTCGTGTTCCAGAATCAGGTTAGCTGTCTCGGGCCTTTGCCACAGCTTCACGCTGCCAAGGCCACAGACAGATGCATCACTTGTTGCCTGACTAACTTGAATGTACCACTGGCAGCATCCCTGCTTCAGAACTGTTGGCTGCTACCACTCCATCAGTATGTCCTGAGGATGGATATAGTCTGTTAATCAGGCAAATGGAAAGAAACAAGTATTATAGATGTGTAGAGAGGATAGGAAAAGCCTACGTTCTTCTCTTTCATACAAGTAAGAAGTTGTGCAGCTACTGTGAATTACAATAGTGGTGCTTTTATGTTATAAATATTTACATTGATAGGATCCACTTTATGGGCAAATCTAAAATAATTTTATAAGATACCTAGCTACTGTATTTGTTAGGTGATAGCATTATATAATCTTAATGGAACCAAATTAGCTTTACAATTTTACTTTTTAATAAGATTTCACCTAGATAATTTGGAGTTTGAAAGTGAACACGCACTTAATGCTTGTGTTAAAACCTGAAGATCAGATTGATTTTTAAAAAAAATGATTTCTGTAATCAATAAAAAATTAAAAGCAAAGGTTAACATCTTCATCATGAATGGTAATATCAGAATGCCTCACAGAAAAATCACAAACAACTTTGTGATGCCCCCCCCAGACTGATTCTGATGAGTGCAGTGATCCTAAAACAAAACTTAGTCAACTTCATATTTTTATATTTAAACATAATAAATAATTAAACATAATTTCATGACCTAGAAAACCAACATTCTGAAATTAGGAAAACAGTATCAGTAGTCTCAATTGATCGTATTCATAAATGTTTTTAACATCTGTCTTATTGAACAAAGATTTCTTAGGCAACACAAAGAAACAGCATGTTCTTTGCTCACGAAGAACTTTCCCCTTAAATAGGAGGGCATAGCTGACACAATGTATAAAACTTAATAACAATCAAGCAAGCTATGTGCTTTATTTTTTTGTTAATTTATTTAATTTTACTTTATATGCATTAGTGTGAAGGCACCAGATCCCTTGGAACTGGAGTTACAGACAGTTGTGAGCTGCTATATGGGTGCATGGGAATTGAACCTTTGGTAGAGCAGACAGTGCTCTTAACCACTGAGCCATCTCTCCAGTCCTAACACATGTGCTTTAACCTAATTAGGTGTCAGGGATACTCAGGGGACAGCTCTGGAGCAGGCATTAAAAAGAGGAAAGGAACACTTGAAGCAGGTACAATTGGAAGGAATTTGCTGAAGGGGTAATATCCAAACCAGACCAACCAGTAATTTTACTAATTGGTAGGAAAAGACAGTGATTATGTTTGATATTTGTTGGGTTTGATAGTTTTGCTGGGGGTTTCCATCTGCTCATTGACCACATTTGTAACACCAATTCATAGTTAAGCACAAGGTAAAGAGTTTGCTAAAAGCCATTTAGCTAAGTGATGGCCTACCATAGTGTTGATGTCCTCATCTGGAAGGGCCAGGCAGGTTGACCTAAAGAGTAAGAAGCCAGTGGTCACTTAATGTTGGATGTGTTGGTGCAATGTACCATATTCACTCTGAGGCTAGATGTTTGCTCTTTGGTACTTTTTAAAACCTAGCTTTTTCAGTACAACAATTGTTAATAGAGAACAGGAAAAAAAAATGTTCACAATGTCAAGGCGATGAGGGTAGCAGAAGTGAATTAGGAGCTAGTTGTTTGTGAGCAAATAAGATGGAGTGGTGCTTTCTAGAGGAACCTGAGAGCCCTGTTAATTCAAGGTCTGGGATGGGACCTGGATATCTGTGCTTCTAGGTGCTCCTAGGACAGGTAGGTATTGTTGATCTCCCATTTTGAGCACTAAGACTGTGGAAAAAGGAGCAGCCATCTTGCTCCGGGAGAGATGGCTCCGATACCTGCGTTTAGGTAAAGCAGCTGTGTTGTCAACCAGTATTTTATGTGGCCTTCGTCCTTTCTTCTCATCTGACTCTACCTTTGCTTTCAGCACGAAAGCAGGAGATCATCAAAGTTACTGAGCAACTGATTGAAGCTATCAACAATGGGGACTTCGAGGCCTACACGTGAGTAGAGACAGACACGCTTGCCATGCTTCACATATTGGGCAACTGTATTTTCTTGCCATTGTATTTTTCAACATGTCTGAAGTTCTGCACATTTAACCCCTGCCTTAATGTATTGGCAATGGCATTGTGTCATATAAATGACAATGGGCTCTTCAAGAAACAACTTGTTTATGATCAGAGGTCGCTCAGCCTCTGATCTAAGGACCCAGAAGTGGCTTTGTGAATATTTCTTTGTAATCACCCACAGTTCTGAGTGAAAGTGGGGCATCAGAGAAATCCATTTAGACAAAGGTTTAAAAAGGAAGAAAACAAATAAATTAAGAAATTCGCTCCTTTGTAGTTCTGCTAGGAATTGGGACAGAAAAGATAACACATGGTGATGCCAAGTATTCCTTTCCCTTCTCAGCCAGTGATGTTCACTGTATCTGCATTTGTTGACTATGTTTTTGTATTAAGGGAAATTTTGAAGAAGAGAATTGTATGATTAATTTAAATAGTAGTAGACTTCTGGATCACATTTTGTGTAAAGGAAATTGCTTAAGAGAAATATGCATTTAAATAAGACATGAGGGATCACTGTGAATCTATCTGGGGATGTAAATCCATGTTGTTATTTTTTTTTCCTTACTATGTAATTCCACTGTGTAAAAGTGTTAAATGCCAAAAAAAAAAAAAAAAAAAAAAAAGAAAAAAAAAAAAGAAAATTGACTTTAATCCCAAATTAGTAAAATGTTTCCAAGTTTAAAAGCAGGGAAAGGGAAAGTGATCATAAATGAGGTAAACTAACTTCCCAACTGGTAAAACTGCTATGTGCCAAACAAAACTAACAAAACCAACTTAGAAAAATGTTTACCAGATGTGTCAAAGGTTAGTTTTTTTGCTGATTGTGTAAGATTGGAAACAGAATTGGCAAAGGATATGAACTGACCATTAGCAGAAAAATATATATATATAAGTGACAAAATGAATATGGCACAGTCACGTTTCTCGCTGTGTACAAGCAAAGCCTGTGATGGGCTAAAGCCCTCGAAAGCTATGAGCCCAAATAAATCTTTTCTCCCTTAAACTGTGGCAGAATCGGCTAACAGAGGGATCCAAACACACAAAAATAGGCAGTGTGAAATTGGGAAGAGAGTCAGTACATGTGGGGACTGAATCTGGAAGCTAATGCGTATAGGTAAAGTGTGAGTATATACATGCAAATACACACATACACCTGAACATGTGTGTGGGCATTGGTTCTTCACTTTCACCTAATAAAATCTACCTGATAAAAGAAGCAGTGAAGGCACTTAAGGAGGCAGGGCCAGGCAGATCTCTGGGAGTTCGAGGCCAGCCTGGTTCAGGCCAGCCAAGGCTACACAGAGAAACCCTACCCTCCCATGGGTGTGGAGGGGGAAGGTTTGAGTTTGTATCCCTATTGTCGCAGACAACAGCTCTCTTTTAAACTGTGGCTTATAATAACTCTGTGCCGTAGAGATTGTTCTTTGTTTGTTTATTTGTTTGTTTTTCCATTATAACCTTGTTAGACCTCTAAGGGTCTCTGAAGAATAAGAAGGGTCTTTCAAAGCTCTTTTTGTGATAGCCACCTCTTGTGGAAGGTGAAAGTTGTGTTTTGTTTTTGTTTCACAGTCAGGGTGTAATTGTAGCCAGGAGATGTGAGGTATTTCCTGTCTCACAGTTTGAAGTAGGATATTTAAATAACCCAGTGCCCTGAGAGCAAATCACCTCACCTTTGCCTAGAAAGGCCTATCATTTGGCCTAGAATTGCATTTCCAGGCCCAAGGATGATCAAGTATTGCTTCTATTCTTTTTGTTTTATTTTTTTTATATTGGTAATATTTTTTCATTAAATTTTTATTTTTTATATTAATTACAGTTTTTTTTTTTAATTTGTATCCCAGCTGTGGCCACCTTTCTCATTCCTTCCCAATCCCATCCTCCCTCCCTCTCTCATCTCCTCCCTGCCCCTCTCCAAGTCCACTGATGGGGAGGTCCTCCTCCCCTTCCATCTGAACTTAGCTTATCAGGTCTCTTCAGGACTGGCTGCAATGTCCTCCTCTGTGGCCTAGCAAGGCTGCTCCTCCCTAGGGGTGGGGGAGTCAAAGAGCCAGGCACTGAGTTCATGTCAGAGACAGTCCCTGTTCCCCTTACTAAGGAACCCACTTGGATACTGAGCTGCCATGGGCTCCATCTGAGCAGAGGTTCTAGGTTATATCCATGCATGGTCCTTGGTTGGAAAATCAGGCTTCTATTCTAAGGCTTTTCAGGTTGAAAATATTTTGATGAGGCTCTGTCAGGTAGTCCCCAAGCTTTGCTCATAACACCATCCCCAACCAAAATGTCCAGAATTCTGTCAGTCTTTATCAGTCTAAAGCCTGTGCCAAGAGAGTGGATGATAGGAGTTAGAGTGAATAAATGATAGCTATAGATGATAGATAGGTGAATACATAGAAGGTAGATAGTAGGTAGGTAGGTAGATAGATAGATAGATAGATAGATAGATAGATAGATAGATAGATAGGAAGGAAAAATAAAATGAGAATTACACTTTCCAGTATATTGTCTCTTTTGAAAGTTTGTTTAAAAACTTCATTATAATACACTTTAAGACCTCAGCCAGTTCGAGGTAGTATGGAATTTGGATTCACAAACTGGCAACTAAGTCATATTTATAGAGGAAATAATAACACCTGGCAGAATAAATTTCTGTTGCCATAGGAACACTATTCTTCCTACTTCATTCCCTAGGAAGAAATGCTATATATTTGACTTGAGCTTAAAAATACCTGCCCAGCAGACAATCTGAGACGAAGTTCATTATTTCCCCACTACCACTACCTTCACCACAAAGGATAACTGCTTTGATTTGTAACCATAAAGTGTTCTTCCCAGTCTGACTGTTCTGCAGTCCTTTGTCTGTGTTTTGGCTGGGTGTTTTGAAGCAGGGACTCATTTTTCCAGGCTGTCCTGGAACTCCTGCTGAATAATGTATGTGTAGCACCATTCCTGGTTTACCAGGACCATGATCCATGAACTGTGTTACACTTTGAAGAACCATAGGAAATTAGGCGTGTAAATTTGTTTTCCTGATGAACATTAAAAAAGTTTCTCTTGTATATTGGAAATTTCCATTTGAAACTAAATAGGGTTCCCATCTGCTATATTTCTACTTAGGAGCAAATTAATAAATAGGCCAAAATCCTTTCATTTATACTCAGCTCCTTGCTGCCCCTCCTCCTGCTCAGTACCTTCCACATACCTGCAAAACTGTCACTCATTCTTCAATGCACAGCCCCAATTTTCGTTCCTTCCTTCCTGAATCATTTCTGTCCACTATAACCTGCCTTTGAAGCACTTTGCATTGACTTTTATTTTAGTATCATGAGTTATAGTTGATTGCTTATATAGTTCATATTTAATGGTTCTATACTGAATAAGCAAATTTCTCCAAAGAAAGCCCATTGGGTTCTTGTGGATAGTTTAGAGTTGTATTCTCCCTTACTGAATTCCGCTTCTGGGATTAAAAAGAAAACTATTGTGCCTGCTTGAATCACCTAATAATTTTCTTTTGAAAAGAAAATAAGCTTTAAATACATACTCAATGTGTTTAAAGTGTTTAAATCATGTAATCTCATGGACATTCCCAGAAGATTCAGACTGACATTCTATCCTTCATGTCAGTTACAATATAAGTGTGAGGAAGATGGAGAAAGTGGGTCCCTCAAAAGACATTCCAAAAATATTTATTTTCAAACCTAAATATGGTTCAAAAGGAATTAGAGTGTGCCTTCAACTTTGAGAAGATTTGAAACATAGGAAACTTAATTCAAAAGTTAGAAAACTAAAAAATTAACTTTGGGAATTAAGAAGCAAGCATCTTACAATGGAGCCGATTCTGTGTGGAGCAGCCAATTTAATTTTACTCCTCCGTGAGTTCTCTACAAAATGGCGTTTTGGAGTCTGCCTTTTGACCTTCCTTGTCAAGGTCTATGGTAGAAATTTCTTCTTTGGGGTGCTTTTTAGCACTCATCTCTTTCCTTCACTGACTATAAATAAGAATGCTTATCACTTTTACCATGATATTTTTTTTTTCTTACTACAGAAAAATCTGTGATCCAGGCCTCACTGCCTTTGAACCTGAAGCTTTGGGCAACTTAGTGGAAGGGATGGACTTTCACAGATTCTACTTTGAAAATGGTATCCATTCTAAGTTTTTTATCTACTTTTCCTTGAATTTCTCCCAACTTTGCAGACACTTTGGCTCTTTCCTGTAATGGGGGTTTCTACTGGCAGTATGTCCACCATGAAAACTGTTTGTTTGGAACTGAAATAACCTGTACTTCAAACCCAAAAGTCCATTGTGCTTTGAAAAATATGAAAACAGCCTTTAAGACCCAGCAAAGGAGCAGTATATGCTATATCATATTATGAACACATATTACTTGGAGTTTTTGTAAAACTGTTAATTTGGAAGAAGAGAAAGCACACAGTGCATACAGTGGCTGAGCCCTGCTGAAGGTCTGGTGGACACTTTCAAAATATGCTCTGACCAGAGGTGAGCAATCAGTGTTTCCGCTCAGATCGCAACGGTCTTAATGTTTTAGTGACGCAGAGGAAACATATCTTTCAGAAAACATACATATTTCCAAAGCAGTTTCTGCAAATCATAAAAATTAGTAATTAAGTAGGGTAATATCAAGCCAAAGGTTCATCATTAACCAGGAATTCCCTACAGCCTTAAACTTTCCATTATATTACCATGGGCTGTGATGAGAATTTAGTCTTTTTGCTATGAGATCCTGTTGAATGAAGGAGGATTTGTAATGATAATTAGGGTAATTAGGTTCATTTGTAGTAATTAAAAGCATTCACAAGTCTCCCTTGGCATGTGTTTTTAGTGAATGAGTTTCTCTTTCTTGCGTATGTTATCTTTTTGCAAAGAAACAAGCAACAATAGTTAATGGTAAGTTTGTGTTTACAAGGCTTGGTTAAATATTCTCATATTCTGCATATTCCAGCATTTTGATAGAGGCTTCTCATACTATCTGCCCCATCTGCCTGTCAATCAACACCATTTTATTCCTAGTAAAATAGTTTACTAATCCATTAATTTTTTACCCATTTCAACATTACATACACCGTGCACTGTTATTTTTCCATAAATGCAAATTCTCCACAATAGGATATTGTTTTTGTGTAACTAACACTTCCTGTAATTTAAATAGGCATTGCCTGAGAATGAGGTGCTTAGCTGGGTAACAGCTAAAATATTTCAGCCTATTCTAATCTACAAAATGCCATCGGTAGAAATTGGTCACAATCCACAAATCTCCTGATCAAGTGATTGGAATGGGTGTATTATCCAAATACCAAGTGTTGTAGCCTGGTGAGGAGCGTCTTTTAATCAGTGGCTTGTGAAGTTAGGCTGGCTGACCACACAGAGATGATGACGGAATTGAAGAGTAGCGGGATGTAATGCAGAAACACATCTATGCAGGGAAACTGTGATTTCTGAAATGTATGCTGGAGATATTTCCCTCATGCCACATCCTAACTACAGGAATACCACCTCAAATCATCCTGTCAGTGGCCTTCACAGAAAGACCAGGGTGACTCAGTGCGCTTGGGCTGGGATTCTCCACCTCTCTTCATAGTACAGCTTCTGTCTCTAGCCCTTTTGCGTTATACCTAAGTGCATCTCTTTAGCTTTTCCTCCTAATCAATCAGAGTTTCCAGAGTACCACAAATCGCCTCTTAAGGAAATGAAAGAAAATAAGGATTATCTACTTTTGTGTCATTGTTTCTGTAACACCCAGCACTTGGTTAGTGCAAATATATTAATGAGTTAAGGCATGAATGAATACCATTCCTCATTAATCCGAACTGAGGTTAATCTTGATGTTAGCATACTTTACATAAGATCTTCATCTGTGTTCTCATCTTATTCTCTTTCAGCTTTGTCCAAAAGCAATAAACCAATCCACACCATCATCCTGAACCCTCACGTGCACCTGGTAGGGGATGACGCCGCCTGCATAGCCTACATCCGGCTCACACAGTACATGGACGCAAGTGGAATGCCAAAGACTATGCAGTCGGAAGAGACTCGAGTGTGGCACCGCCGCGATGGGAAGTGGCAGAATGTGCACTTCCATCGTTCGGGGTCACCAACAGTACCCATCAAGTAAATATTCCCATGCCGTCATGTTTTGTCAATATACCCTTGACAACAGACAGGTTTAGAAGCAGCATTTAAAAAGCAAATATCAGGTGTTGAGCTGTCTCCTCCTCTTAGTATCCTTCCTCAGATGACATGTTAATTTCCAGTCAGTAATCAAACAGACACTCTCAGCACATCTCCTAGGTGCCTCTCCTGGGCTAGATGCAGAGGGGTGAAAAGGCATCTCCCACAGGAAGCATGTATTTTGATTTAGAAAGCAATTAATCAGTAACACTGTGAAAAAAACTGAGCTATGCACTTAACATCAGAGTTGGGGTGCAGTGAACAGCCAGTGTACCAACCGTCCATACATTGTATGAAAGACTGAATTTTGAACAAGAGTTTACACAAGGAGTTATGGAAGTAGGAAAAGAGCAAAGGGGAGAGAGTCCAAGCCACAGGGACAGCATCAGCATGAAGTTACAATGCTGGAACTTTAGAAACATTAGAAAATAAAGCTGCACACTATCAGATGGCTCAATGTGGTAGAGGGGAGTGATGCCAAATCCTTTGTGTCCGTTAAATGGGATGAGCTGAAAGCAAGAGAGTAAAGGAAATTGGGTGAACCCTGGCCCACTGATCATCTCTTTCCAGGATGCCCTGTTATTATCTGAACATGTTGGGTGAGGAACCTAGTTTTTACAGCCACTCACCACACTCCAGCAAAGCCATTACGACCTCTCAGTTTGATGCTCGATTAAAACCACAGTGATTCTGAAAGGTCTTCTCTGTTATTTTAGTGACCCTACAGCACTGTTGGACATACGAAATCAAATAAAATGGATCATCATAGACAAAAATAGGTCCCAATAACCAAAAAAGGTTAAAACACATTTCAAAAACATACCTATGTGATCATAAGGGAGAGATAAATGGAGTATAGAAAATAAACTATTTAGTATTTCTGTGTGTGGTTTTTATCCTGAAGAAGTACACCACAGATTGCCAGCTAACATAGATGGGATGGATACAAATGTATTGGGCCCGGGGATAGTTTTTTTCTGCAGTTCTCTGAAGTGTTAAGGGCTAGAGCCTATCTAAGAAAACTTCCTTTTATGCCAGGTGGCTTAAATGGGGCTTCTCTTAATAGGCCACCCTGTATTCCAAATGGGAAAGAAAACTTCTCAGGAAGCACCTCTTTGTGGCAAAACATCTGAAAACCATTCACATTTGGGTCTTGTAAGTAGCACCCTGCCCCATGGTTCTGTGTGATGGGGGCTAATGCTGGAGAAGCTGCATGGCTGGTTCTTCCCTCTGTGGACATTCGCTCAGCACTCTACTCAGTTGAAACACATCCAAGGTCTTTGAGAATCCACTGAGGCTTTGCATGAGTCCTTAACTCTAGTGTTCATTTTATAGCGTCAACACTGTTTGAAAGGTAGCAAACACCAAGAGGGACCTTAATCCAGCATCTGTATTGCATCATCTTAGCATCCTGGAGTTCTCACATCTGGGTTAATGCGAGCAACTCTCAACTCTCCAGAACAGTTTCTAGTCTATTAGATTTTGAGATCCTCTGTTGTCTCCCTGTCTTTTGAAAGTAGCAATTCCTGTTTGTCATTGCTGGCGTTAATATGGGCATGAGCTCAGTGTGTCTGAATGAGTTTAGAGATGCTAGCTATCTCAAGAGGATGGGCCACAACAGAAAGTCAAGCTGAACTTTAAACCATCACAAAGGAAGTCATTCAGATGATAATTGATGGCTGGCCGCAATGAAATTCATGCCTGCATTGTTGTTTCTAAAGATTTGCGTCTTAAACTGGGATTAGGAGACAGGCCTGAGTAGGTGCCACTGTTTATATTTTCCTCATGCCAGGATGGAACAGAGCTTTCAAGAAATGGTGCTTTTAGCTACTGCTTCTAAAGAAAAATTATGGTTTCTGTATTTGTGAGACTATATTCCCTGTTGAACTGACTTTTAATTTTGATTTTCCAAGCAATTTAAGCGTAATGAGCAAACAAGCATAGAACGAACTTGAACTTTAACTGTTCCAACCAAATATTGATATGAATTCATTAAATTTGACTAGAAATATGAATGCTTAAAGCATAGATTTAGATTTAATAATGTGATTGACGCCTGGGACCCCATTCTGCTGTTTTTTTGTTTTGTTTTGTTTTGTTTTTTCAGTTTAACTTTGTGTGAACAGATATATACTATTGATTGCCTAGTTCAGTCTTTGTTAAACATGTATATCTTATCTTGGAAGGATCACAGGCAAAGATCTCATACAAAGTATTTTCCAATCTGAACTAAAGCTAAGTTATCAAACTGTAAGCTCATAACACTGGCAAAAATGTTGGTATTAAAAAAAAAACAAAAAACAGTATAATTTATGTCTTCCTCCCTTTCTCCATTTCAGCTAATTGTCAACAGTGCCACTTCTTCATTGTTTCCAAGGCACCTGGAGGGTAATCCTGGGACGTCCTCTCCTCCTCTTCATGCATGTTTCTGAGTGCATGAAGCTGTGAAGGTTCTACGTGTAATGCATATGTGACGTGTCATCTTATCATATATTCCTTCCTATACATTGTTTACACTCCAGCTACTGGATGGGATGTTCCATGCAAGCTTCAATTACTGTTGGCAAACTATAGATGGAGGTCAGACGAGAAAATTCCACAATATTCCAAGTTCAACTGACCCATCAGGTTTCCCTGTTTATGCCAAGATTTAAAAGACAATTAAAATCATTGTTCTCTGAATGACAATTCATAAGAGAAAAGTAAATCTTTTTTAGAATGCTGCCATTAATCTGTTTGGGCTTTTTGTTGAGATTTTGGTTTTGATTTGTTTTTGTCTTTAAGGGTACATACATATATATATATGTATACCTTCAGCTCCTGGTGTGATCCTGGTAGAAATGGATGTCGTTTCTCTGAAAGTGTTGGTATTGGATAAGTGGATATTTATGCGGGCAAATGCCTGTGTGATTGTAGGAGCAAGAGTCAGTTACTGTTCTACCGTCAAAGCCATATTGATTTGAGTCACACTGTATACTGGAAAAAATTCACGTCATTTACTAGTTTGATTTCTTTCAGATAGGCACAGTTCTGGTGAATGCTTGGCATAGATTTTGTTTTTTTCTTTCTCGAATCTGTGTTCTGTTTTTACTGTATACTATTTGTTTGCCCTTCTGTTTATTTTTCCTGTTTTAGTTCTCTCTCATCTCTCTCTCTCTTTTTCTGTTTGCCTGTTTATCCTTCTTTCTGTAGCTAGTAGTGTGTAAAAACAGTAAAATTTACATATGAAGGTAAAATAAAAGTCAAGGTCTTTTGGAGGAAACTAAAGGCAACATTTCCAGTTTCTTTAGGGCCCATGGACCTGCTAGAAGATTTTAAATAAAGGTTTTTAAATTGGCTTAGGCTACCACTTATGCGTAGGTATCCTAGCCATGTTGGAAGTTTTTAAATTGAGACTTGTGCTAACAGCAGTAAGAGCCTACTAAGAATCACCAACTAGAGAAGTTGCCTGAAGACCACAGTGGAGGGTGACCAGGATTCTAAGCACTTATTTGACCTTGTGGGATGTGAGGGCCTTTCCTGCCTCACTTTCACTAGCTAGTCCACATGAGGTATGTTCTCCATCCTCACAGTGTTTGAACTTGATCTTTGTAATTTGTGCAGTTCTAGCTTCTCTCTTGAGTCACAATAGCATCTTCTTGCCAGGGGTTAGGGTTTATCCAGCTTAAAGCAACGAAGAAAAGGAAATGCCCCAGTTTTCTTTGCAGTTCTCATTTCTTCTTTGTTGATGCAGTCCTGTCAGGCTGCTTTTCTGTGTTGAACTGCTTTATGGTGCATGGACTCTCCATCAGCGTTACTTCAACCATAGCTACTCAGTCTTTAGAAGCCTATTTTTAAAGCAGAAGCAAAAAGACAAAAAGCCCTCACTCCCCCTCTTTTTCCTAATTTCACCTTTTGGTGTTGATTGCTAATCACTTTAGATATTGTTGCTAGTGAATGTATGGTAGATGGGTTGAAGCTTTTCTGATAACTATCACATGATTTAAAACAATATATATTTAAAAATGAATATATACAGTAAATGTATTGAGCCGTGTTATCCTGCCAATGAGATCTGTGAAAAACGTTAATGGCCTCACTTTTCCCTTTTTAAGTTCTTTTCCCTTTCTGTGAAGCAACTCTGCGTGGCATACATATATTTAAAAACACAAATAGTGGTAGAATGTTTTTTTTCTCCTTTTTTTTTTTTTACACTTTTAACTTAGCATGTGGTGTTGTATTACCATAGATCCAGTTTGTCTTCTGCACTAAGGTGTGAGGAAATCGTGATTTGTTCTCTCCAGCACAATGGAATTACACATTCATCATCTGCTATTGTTTTGAAAACACTGCAGTTTACCATGGGACACTGTATATATTTCTTGCCATAATGGTAAATGACTGATTGATATATTTAAGAGTTAATAAATTTGTGATTTCTGCTGACGGTGTGTCCATCTTTATTTCTTAAAAAATACTCTCCACATGCTTGGTCCTGGCCACTGCCAAGGATATCATGTCATGCCCTGGTCTCCTTCAGTAAACAACTTGCAGGCTGTGATAATGGCAAAGGTGTTTGCTCTCTCTGCACACGACAGTGCTCTTTTTCCACAGAAAATTAGCTGAAAGGAATGTAGTTACTGAGCATCCTAAAAGTTTCTAGACTTTTAGGACTCTTCTGTCCATCTGACTGTCCATCTCTTACAGGATGGTGAGACCATCCCTCCACTAACACAAATCTGACATTATCTCCAGTTCAGAGCAGTTGCCCTAGCTGCTCTGAACCCACAACTCCAGGTTGCCAAGGCGCTGTTAGCTAAAGCACTACGTGCAGTCTCCACGTCCATCCACGCGACTAACTTCTTCACCTAGAATGCCCTTCCTTTGTTCTGTTAGCTGGTCCTTTAATCACTCATGGGGGTTCAGACAGAGTTGCCACTCCTCCCGTGAATCTCCTTGGCAGCTTGGAGGCTCTGGTGTGCTCTGCCATGTCCCATGTGGTAGTCTGCATATGCTTGCTCCTCCTGCTGCTAGACGCGTTGTTTTGACAGTATGTTTTTGCGTTGTCTTTACCATAGTCGAGAAGTCTGTACACACGAGAACTGCGCATCTGTGGTTGCGCCCTCACAGCCAAACCAGAGCAAGGAAGGGAGAGGCTGCTAATAAACAGGTGTTCGGGTGAAGCCATACTGTACATGGTAACCGCAAGGTGAGAGCGGACAGGCCTGGGTTGAATGTTGGGCTCTGTCATGATCTTGCTATTCTAAGCAAGGTGCTTCTTCCCTCTGAACTTCAGTTTCCATGATTATAGTAAGTGAAGTATAATTATATGAATTAAATTATAATACCCTGAGGGTTAGAAGTAATAGGCACAAAAATCCCTGGAATACCAGATTGTGTGTATTAAATGGACATCATTGGGCATGGTGGTATATGGCTGTAATCTCAGTACTTAAAAAGCTGAGACAGGGGATCTAGAGTTCTAGTCTACTGTGAGCTACATTGAAAGAACCTGCCTCAACAACAGCAATATATATATATATATATATATATATATATATATATATATATATACTCCTTACTGAATGCCCTTACTCTTGTTGTCATTCCTTGTTTAAGTTAAGGTGGGTAGGTAATCCTTGCTTTGCCATGGGGTGCTCTCTTAATTTAGGCTTTACTGTTATTGGAAAGGATTTACTTGTATTCCAGTGTCTCAGCCAAAAGAAGAAAGAAAAAAAATAAAGGAAGATAGCCAAATACCTGAAAATAAGAGGAGATGGAGTTAACTGGTAAATTCTGGTGAAGTTTTCAAGAATGTTAATTTTAAGTAGCTAAAAATTTTGAATTTCTGTATAAATAAAAGATTTCTCTATAATGTGAGGATAAATGTAGAAAACACAACTTTTGAGTCATTTCATTAAATAAAATCATGCTGACTTTGAGTCTTTTATGTCTTTTGTGGTCTCCTTTGTTAGATTTTAAGTATTAATTTTAATTTCCGTTCTTTGGATGTATTTGTGTGTGTGTGTTTGTGAGTATGTGTGTGTGATTGTCCATGTCTGTGTGTTCACCTGTCTATAGTAGCTTCCTTTATTTCTCTCTATCTATGTGTGTGTGCGTGTGTGTGCTGAGGCAGGATCTCTCAATGAAAATGGAGCTCACTGTTGTAGCTGGACTGACTGGCCATTAAGCCCCATTTCCTCCTGGCTCCTCCCTGTGGGTGCTGCTGTTACATTCTATACATGGCTTTTGCAGGGGTGCTGGGGATCCTCATTATTGTGTACCTGGCACTTTCCTCACCGAGGCAGCTCCCCAGCCCCTGTTTTTACATTTTTGTAGATGAGTTGCCAACATTTTTAAATTGCACATTTCATACAAAAGTCATATGATTTGGGCCTTGATTAATTTCAAAGTTAAAAAGTTCTGGTTTGTTGATCCAGCACTCCACCTAGCATTCTTACCGAAGCTCGTGTTCTGGTGAAAGATAGCAGGCCGTGCCCCCACCCACACCCACACAAATGTCATACCTCTTGGGACTTTCCTGCCAGCTCCCAGAGCACTAGAAGCTTCAACCCTTTCCTTAAAATCAGGTAGCACTCTCAGCACCCGAAGCTTCAGTGACAAGTATGGGTGTGTTGGTTTTGGGTGGGATTGCTCAGCATCCCCCAACCATAAAGCTCCCATAGCTGATACCTATTAGAGGCCTGCAGTTAAATGCTTGGAAGTATTTACTTGTTTGTGTGTCGGGGGAGGGGAGGGGCCACACACTCACACCTGACTACCTGTGTCTTCCCTCAGACACCCAGCTCCTGTGTGTGTGCATGTCTGTGGGGGAGGGGGATGAATGTGAGTCTATGCACGATGCATGTACTTATGTACTTGGAGGCTAGTGGTCAGTCTCCAGTGTCATTTGTCAAGAGCTGTACCCATTTTTCGAGATGGGGGGAAGGCCTCTCACTGGGAAACAGGACTTCCTGCTTTGGCTTGGCTGACTAGCCAGTGAACCCCAAGGATCTGCCTCTCTCCACTCCACCGACCCCAGCATTAGTGTCACAAGCCTATGCCACCACAATAGGCTCTTTATGTCGGTGCTAAACGTCCAGACTCAGGTTTTCATGTTTGCACAGAAAGAACCTTACAAACAACCATGTCTCCAGCCCCACTTTTTAAATCTTTTTTTCCTAGTATCATAGCTTGAGCCTACACACTCAGCTCCACCCTCCTTTCTCTCTTAAACATTCCTTTTCCCACCTCACTCTTTCTCTCTCTCTCTCTCTCTCATTTTTTTTTTAATTTGTCACAATGACCATGATGTTGTTAAATCGAGAGTAGACTTCTGGTCCTCACTTTACTTACTGTCTCAGCAGCATCTCACCCAGTGACTCACAGTCTCCAGTGTGGAGTCCACGCTGTTTCATACTCACTGAAGCTCTAGCAGCCTGTCTACATGCTGTTTCTCAGCCTTTGGTTGGTTCTTTTTCTTCTTCTTCTTCTTTTTTTTTTTTTTTTTTTTTTACTTCTTCACTCATTCCCAGAATGATTGCATCGAATTTCCATGATTGTAAATCACCTTAGTGATCTTCAAACACATTCCCCTCACCTAGGTCACATTTCGTAACTCCAGACATATAATGCTGGCTTCCTATATGAAATCTACAGTATAGATCCAATAGACCTCACAAGTCAACATGGCCATTACTGAGCCCCATTAGTCTGTGCCCAGACTTTACAGCTCAAGAAATGGAAACTTAGTTCTTATTGCTCAGACCAGAAACTTTGCTTTCGTTTTTAATTCTTTTTCCATTTAAAATCCATCACCTTCCAAATATGACCAGGAAGTGAGCAGTTTTGTTTGCTGTCTGCTACTCTTGAATCAAATCACCATCATCTTGTTTATATTCCTGGAACACCCAGGTCTATCGACTTCTACTTCAGCCGGAGTAGCCTTGTTAAAGAAGTCAAAGTGTGATACTGCTCTGTGCAAACCCGTGTGATGGTTTACAGTCTTGCTCAAAATAATCCCATAGAGTAGCCTCTACTTGGCATGGATCCCCATTCCCTGCTTCACCACACTCTACAGCAGCATTCCAGAAGGTTCCTGTCAGCAGTTAACTATGTGTTGCAATACTCTTTCTCAGAAATCAAAGCAGATAGCCACTACATCCCCTTAGAAAACTAAACTTACTTTCTTGATGATACCAGCACTGAATATTCTGAGGTCAGGCTCCCTCCCGGTGAACAATTTACATCCTCTTTCCCTAAAATTTTTCTTCTGAGCACTTACTATTTTTCATATTGATTTTCTCATTTGTCTTACTTTCCTGCTGTTTGAGCCCCTTGTGCTGGCTAGTGCTGGGAAATACACAGATCTCACAAACTCAGGTCTAGGGATTTGAGACAGTTTGCTCAGTTTGAAATTATTCCCAGAACTCATCCCAAGCAGGACCTGTTGCCCGGAATCACATGGTGTCCTTTTATTGTCTCTGTGTTGTGCAGTCACTTCAGGGGAAAGCCCTGAAAAAACACTCTGTGCCTGACTTTCTTCACATCTGCTTTTCTTCCTATTTCTTTCCTTCCTTTCTTTTCTCTTCCTTTGCTTTTCATTTTAATCAAGTAAGTTTTTATTTTTAAGAGAGAGGTAGGGGGTTAGCAGTCGATAAACACCAAGGAGCTCATTCCCCTCCCACCTACTGATTCTGCGGGCAGGAAACAAACAAAAAACCTGACAGTTGGTTCCTCTGCGGGGCGGCTAGCCCCACCCCCACTGCGGTGAGGGAGCAGTGTTTGAAGCTGTGTGTGAGGTGGTGTTCTGTCTGCGCTGTCACTGCTCATTACAGGTGATTCAGAGGCCTTTCCACGAGCTGCTTAGTCACTCCCGTCTGGGAAAAGCAACCGTCATAATTTACTTTCGACTCATCTGTGTTCCTTCAGGATTATCACCAGCAGCCTTTTACCCGCCCCCGCCCCCCCCCACCCCCGAAGGATCAGCCACTCTACAATTTAAACCCTCAGAAAAACTCCCTGTGGGCCACAGGCGGAGAGGCCTGATCTTCAAAACTGACATTAAGTTTACTCTCCTGAAATCCCTCCCTCTCTGCAAACCAATCCACGCCACTGAAGAATGACTTGGTGTTGAGCCATTCACGGTCTGAAAAGGTGTGGGAAAGTGGGCGCTGTAGGGCGCTGCACGGCGCTGCACAGGATCTGGCAGACGCTTGGAGATGAGGAGTGGGGAGAGATGACATAAAACAAAATGTCTTTAGCGATAGGAACCAAGAGCAGGAAGCACTGAGTGAGTGCCTACGCAATGACAGACACTACGGTGAAAATGTATTATGTGGGTTCGTGCCTGTCCTGTCGCGTCCTGTTCTGTCCAAAAGGGTCGTGCTTCAGCCAAGAACTCATTAAGAGCTAAACAGATAGAGAAGCTCTGCTTGGGGATAAGT